TCACTCTGAAAATGTATTTCAACTTTACAATAATAGTAAAACTCTCCCGACTAAAAAATGTATCATGTGTGGAAGTATACTTCTGTAGAGTAAGAATCACGTGTCCATATCAACGATAGGAATTTCGAGGGAGCTTTCGACAAGCAGGATCCTTGTAAAACCCCAGTGGGTCAATGGTAAATCCCTATGCATGGGTTAGACCCCTATCAGACAGGGGAATCAAGTACTCATACGGCAATTAAAATCTGACCGCCTGCTACATGGTTTTTGCTCCTAACTTCGTGTCCATTTTATGCCTGATCTGATAAACAAATATTGACTTGAACGTACGATTATACAATATATCATGGAAGTATATAGCTCCGTTATGATAAGCATCAGTAGATTATAAATTATGCATTAAAACAAACTTCTACACAATGCCTGCTCTCTGCTTTAATTTAACAACGATACTGCTGATGTATAAAAACGTGTGGCCCTGTTATGACTATTATTAATTATTATAATTACAACCTGCTAGGCATTTATTAAAAGACAAGTCTTCCATATTTACTTGAGGATGATATAATAAATGCATATTAAATAGAAACAATACCACTAACGTATAAAAATGTGTAATTGTGTTACGACTATTATTTAAGCGTAACCAGACAAATTTGAATAAAAAGCTTGCTTTCGACGTTTATTTAAAGATGATATAATGAATGCAAATTAAATAGAAACAATATTTCTAATGTATAAAAATTTGTGGCTTCGTTATAGCTATTATTAGTTGCAACTATACATTACACACCACAGTTTTTAAAAAAAGCTTGCCTTCCAAACTTATTCGATGATGATGTGTAATAAATGACCCAGAATATAAATACAGTTATTTAACTACCTAGTTCCTGACAATTAATCGAAATTTTCACATGTTTCATTAAAGTTTGTAAAAAAATTAACGTGTCTAAAAGAAATCACTTAACAAATATATTAGAAAAGATTGTTAAATAAAATTGTAAATGATCCTAAGCATACTAAGTAATACTTTTGCTAAAATGATCGGCTGTTCGAGTGTCTGTCGAGTTGCTACGAATTGCGATCAACCAGATTTTTATAAAATGTCTGCTATCCACATTGATTTGAAACTGATATGAAGAATGCGTAGTAAATAGAAATAATACTGTTAACGTAAAAAAAATACTGTAGCTCTGCTACGACGATTATTAATCGCAGCCAACTAGATTCTTGTAAAAAGCCTACTTTCCACATTTATTTGAGAATAATATAATACAGTAATTTCCCCGTAATTCGCGCTCAGATTGGGCACAAAAATGGACAATTTGGAAAGAGGAGATATTATACTTTTATAGTTGTTGACAATCGGTAAGTATAAAAACGAGCCGCAGAGCTCGAATAATCGTATCTCCTTTCCCAAAATTGTCCATTTTTGTGCGCAGTCTGAGCGCGAATTAGAAAGAAATGACTGTAATCGCATAAATAATAGAAACAATACCGCTAAAGCCTGTTAGAAAATCGTTTCCTTCCGACGGACGTTTTAGAAATAGCCGAGATTAAACGGTCGATCCCGGCTAAAACTAGTAATCCCGTGACACGGGTCGAAATCCCGAAAGGTTCGAGCCCTCGGTGCCGATGTCGACGGTGTCCACGGGTTCCCGGTGTTTGCTCTGGAGGCTTCATTGCCTCTCATAATATTTGCCGAACGTCACACGCCGGCCAGAGAACGGTCAGTCAATGATCCTAAACCACCTATTCCACGCGGCTCGGACCTCGATAAACATACGCTTGTTGTCGGGAAGAGAAACCGAACGCGGATGAGAATCCAGATTATTATTAACTCCTGATCATCAATTTTGTCCTCGAGCTGTCACCGACTATTCGATCCACCAAAATGTCTCATCTATGAGTTATTATTACACTGCGAAACTTTATGCGTTATGGCATGTGCACGTTTTTAGAATGCGAGAGAAGCTGTAAATTGGCAAGATCTAATAGCATTTTTGTATCATTTCCACGATAAGTGATCTCTTAGTTGGTTAAGGAAACTGTCTTTTGATTCTAATTGTTGCACAAAGATCCGCAGTCTAGTTTTATTATTAGCTAAAAGTTCAGTTTCCGTAGTACAAGCTATCAAAAGTAGACCAAAATGATTTTGTGTGTATACTGTATAAGAGGCCTAAGTGTATAGTGTATAAGACGATACTTTTTAATTAATAACACGAATTTCGTGTCTCTATCTTCACTGTATATTATGTTCTGTTATAAATGTAAGTGTTCAACATTTTTGTCGCGTTTACACGGAGCATGTTGCATTAGAATTGCATGTATTGATTTATACAGATTTATATAATAAGTAATACAAATGTAATAACAGGTTTATGAAAATTTCGACAAAAAACCAAAGTTGAAAGATTGTACATTGATATAAAATTGTACACAATAGAGACTAAGAATTCTGTGATTAATAGTGTACAAAGACGATCAATGGATTCGAAAAATACAATATGATTATTAAATGATTATTCAAATGACAAATATAACTTTTTTTAATCATGGTCCATTAAACTGAACAAAAGTATTTTATGTACCGAATAAGTGTCAACATCTTCATCGAAATAATGAAGATATCATTTGAATAATACTTGGAAAAACTGAATAGCGTACGCTTTTCTTGATATGCCTATTATTTAATTTTTTATAAGCATTTAAAGTTGATTTTTTGGGTTGAGAACAGCTGTTTTTTCTACAAAACACGGCCATTTCTACGATTATTAAAATTTTAAAGAACTCTTATGCCACGTTTTAGATAATACTTTCTAGTTCATAAATAAACAAAATTTGTTTAATTCAAATGTCCCAGTGCTTGCCAACTGTGACGATCAACAATCTATGTTCTACGAGAAGTAGTTTCGGAACCAACAAGTAACTTTGCCATTTTGTACGATTTTTACTATTAAAAAATTCGAAAACGAAGCTGAAACTTATATTTATATTCTCACAGAAAGACTAAATCTTCTATTTAGCAATTATCTATGAAAAAATGCCCAAACTGTATCTATTTCTTAACGCCTCACGGTGATGCCCCGACTTAATAATAAGGAAAAGATACCAGTTGTTCTATTTGAGCCGTTTATTTTGAAAGTGGCATAATTCACTTTGTTTTTAAGTCGATATATTTAAGGGTTTGCGTTTTAACACGTTTAAAAATATGGATGCTAACTTTCGAGAAGATTTACTTGTATTTGTTATCTCAGGATACTGATATTTTTCTCAGTATAAATAATTTCATATAAACATTAAAAAATCACCACTTTTCATTACGGTAAAGTGACTTATACCACTTTCAAAATAAACGGCTCATTTAACCCTAGAAAGATAACCATATGACAACGTACGTAAAAGATAACCATACGCTTCAGAGGCGCATGCTTTTCTAAGGCGTCAATTTTATACTAACAATGGATATTTATTTAAGTTAATCTAGTCATTTTAAAGGTTTGGCATTATTGTAAAAATAAAATGCATTTATATTATATTTTTTTATATTTTAAGTAATTTTAAACTTAAATCACTAGACCTCTATGAAAAATTAACAAAAATCAACAGTCTTCGCAGGCGCCTCTGCGACGTAGGTTATCTTTCTCGGGTTAATGATACTTACTTTTGGAAAGTCTCGTCCCAGGTACGGTACAAATCCGCCACGCCATCCTTCAGGGTGGTGAAGGTCAACGACGCCATGTTATCGTGATCGGTGATCAGTCTGTGCGTCGAGACGTTCAACGCCAGCATCGCGGTCTTGCGATCCCTCAACGAAGCCAGTTCGGCCTAGAACATTAAATATACATTTTTAGTGGTTGCCTTCTTCGGCTAACTCAAACGGATTGCCCCGTTCTTGAGGCGGAGGGTGCGGGTGATGTATAAACTGGTCGCGCAGCAGTAGACCAAAGGAAGTGAAGCGTGTGTGTGTGTGTGTGTGAGTGTGTTTGTGTCTTGCAACGAGAACCAAGGATATTTATCTTTCGGCTAAATGATCCCGTAATATAGTTAATACACCACGAATTGTCTGCATTTATAATACAAACAATTGCTATGCGGTGCCTCAAAACTAACTATTCTTGTTTTTTTTTTACAGCGCGAAAACATTAAAAGAATTTGTATTCGAAGACCCAAGAATATCGAAGTCATTGAGAACATCAATTTGCAACAGCATATCTCACCATTTTTATACAATCGATTTTATACAACTACGATTTATGGATCAATATTTGTTCGTCGTTGCTTAAAATTCTTATTTACTTTAGTTACTTTTTTTTATATATTTATTCAGCAAAACAATCGGTACAATTTAATTACGTTAAAGACTGGCATGGCCATTTTTGACTATTTATGATCAAATAAAAAAATCATTCAGAATAGGCATAGTCGTTCTATTAATATTTATTGTTTGACTTGAGTAATATGTTTATACAAAACAATCGGTACAATTTAATTACGTTGAAGACTGACATGGCCATTCTTGACTATTTATGATCAAATAAAAAAATCATTCACAATAGGCATAGTCGTTCTATTAATATTTATTGTTTGACTCGAGTAATATGTTTATACGATGAAACATGTTAGAATAACTGTAAAGAGAAAGTAAAAATGCGATTGGACTATTGCAGATGTTATACAGGGTGTCCCAAAAATGTCTCGCAATCCGGAAATAGCGGGTTCCTCAGATCATTTGAAGCAGCTTCTTCCTTTACATAAATTTTCTCCGAGGCACCGTTAACGAGTTATTAAGGAAAAACAGTGACCAATAAGAATCGAGTACGGCTGACGCGAGGCAGCCCAGCCAACCAGCGCACGAAGCCCAGTTCCGCTCATTGGCTCGGTCGCCTCGCGCCAGCTGAGCTCGCCTCTCATTGGTCACTGTTTTTCGTTAATAACTCGTTAACGGTGCCTCGGAGAAAATTGTTGTAAAGGAAGAAGTTGCTTCGAATGACCCGAGGAATCCGCCGCTTTCGGATTGCGAGACATTTTTGGGACACCCTGCAGATTCATGTCATAAATGCATGCAGATCCCCAGTTTCATTATAGTGCCGCGGTTTAAAAATCTGCATATGTCATAAATGCATAAAAAAGCGCAGTATGATTATAATAACGTTAGGAAGCTTTTGATGCAGTTTAAAAATCTGAACATACTATAAATTCCTGTTATAAATGCGTAAAAATCCGCAGTCAGATTATAGCAACGAAGTCTGCATACGCCGTAAATGCATAAAAACTGTAGAATAATTATAATTATAGCAATGTTCGATACATTTTGTAGCAATTTCGAAATCCACACACGCTGCAGCTGCACAAAGACCCGCAGCATAATTACAGCAACGATAAATATACCCTGTGTCGCAGCTGAAAAATCTGCGAATGCCATAAAAGCGCGAAAAAGTTTAATCACAGCGACGAGACTAAATTATGACACGGTTCGTCGTCTGCTATCAAGAAGCATCGAACTCTCCAGGCCGGGATGGCCCCGCGGCCATGTTCATATGTGACCCAGCGCGACGACATCGACCGGAGAAAGCCAGACGGGCCGGGTCATCGGTACAGAAATAAACGTGCGTTTATCAGGAAAAGCATAACTGAACTATAAGGGTTGTAAGAGCGCAAGGTAGACGATGGAGTAACCACGTCACGTTGTCACGTCCCCGTCGTGCTACTACAGGAGGCGACCGACGAGGGCCGCATAAATAAACCCGGGTTTACGACGGCGACGCAGGGCGTAAGAGAACGAAAACGAGAGCCCCCGTTGGTTCTTCCTCTTTCTTCCTCCATCCCCCCCTGACTCGGCTTCTTCTTCTTGTTCTTCTTCTTCTTCTTCCCTCTTCTTCTTCACCCCTCCGCGAGTCATTTCTCTCCGCTCATCGCGTGACGAGAACGAGAGCTCGAGAAAGCTCGTAAAAGCTCGTCCTTGCGGTCATCGCGGGACCGTCTTCGTCTCTTACCCAACCCGGCCGAGTCCTCCGCGATGCCTCCGAGTAATTCTTCCCGGCGAAACGAAATTTACTACGGAATTTACTACTGTTTCCCGCTTGCATTTATATTGTACACCGATCTGAAACCCGCGCGGACCGGATCCACGCTCGCATTCCGCGACGACGGCGGCGTCCGTCTTCTAATCACACGGCTGAATTGAATGTTTCGGACGGTTGGGAAAGAAAGAGCAAAGTTTAGGTGACTTTCTGTTCTACCAGAAATATTTGGTCCATGGAGAATCGATCATTTTCATGAATGAACGACGGATCTTCATGCAAAATTAAAATTTGATGCATCGATTGCACGAAACGAGGACTGGATCGATATTTATTCTCTTGCAAATTAATAATAAACTCCTAAATATATAACATGACGAAATTGTTAGATTCGTCTCTAATAGAGTCATTTTTCTGTGTTTCATCTACTCGTTTTTGTTATAATATTTATTCTCTTGCAAATTAATAATAAACTCCTAAATAACATGACGAAATTGTTAGATTCGTCTCTAATAGAGTCATTTTTCTGTGTTTCATCTACTCGTTTTTGTTATAATATTTATTCTCTTGCAAATTAATAATAAACTCCTAAATAACATGACGAAATTGTTAAATTCGTCTCTAATAGAGTCATTTTTCTGTGTTTCATCTACTCGTTTTTGTTATAATATTTATTCTCTTGCAAATTAATAATAAACTCCTAAATAACATGACGAAATTGTTAAATTCGTCTCTAATAGAGTCATTTTTCTGTGTTTCATCTACTCGTTTTTGTTATAATATTTATTCTCTTGCAAATTAATAATAAACTCCTAAATAACATGACGAAATTGTTAAATTCGTCTCTAATAGAGTCATTTTTCTGTGTTTCATCTACTCGTTTTTGTTATAATATTTATTCTCTTGCAAATTAATAATAAACTCCTAAATAACATGACGAAATTGTTAAATTCGTCTAATAGTGTCACTTTTCTGTGTTTCATCTACTCGTTTTTGTTATAATATTTATTCTCTTGCAAATTAATAATAAACTCCTAAATAACATGACGAAATTGTTAAATTCGTCTAATAGTGTCACTTTTCTGTGTTTCATCTACTCGTTTTTGTTATAATATTTATTCTCTTGCAAATTAATAATAAACTCCTAAATAACATGACGAAATTGTTAAATTCGTCTAATAGTGTCACTTTTCTGTGTTTCATCTACTCGTTTTTGTTATAATATTTATTCTCTTGCAAATTAATAATAAACTCCTAAATAACGTGACGAAATTGTTAAATTCGTCTAATAGTGTCACTTTTCTGTGTTTCATCTACTCGTTTTTGTTATAATATTTATTCTCTTGCAAATTAATAATAAACTCCTAAATAACGTGACGAAATTGTTAAATTCGTCTAATAGTGTCATTTTTCTGTGTTTCATCTACTCGTTTTTGTTATAAATGCGTACAATTTGTTGTTTATTCATAATTACACCATTTGCGATGTTTACGATTACTATCAGCTTTCTTTCTGAATTATTCGGAGGAAACTTTTGAAGATACATGGTGTGTACCAGACCTGGGCACACTTTGGATGATATTTTTTGAGATATTATTTCAATGTTATTTTATTTCATAATTCTTCTTCTAACGTCGCATAATTATCCTGATAATGGGCAACGTTTTCTTGAAGAATAACACCCCTAATCCATCTTCCGCGCCAGTCGAAGGATTATTTTCTTTTTTATTTTCGCGACAATATTAGAAGAAAAAGTTATGCTCGAAGCAAATTCATGTAACGATTTCTTCAAACGAAGTCTTTTTATTGCATACTATTTTTAGAATTATTAGTTTTATCATATTCGAAATAAAAAATAACGAAATAATTCATTATTTGAAATTGTTATTTCAAATGGTTCGATATTATTTTTATTTCCGAACAACTGCGTTGAAAATAACGATTTGGAATGAATTATTTTAAATAGTTATTTCTTACTTTCATTTCGAATAAAATTTGCCCAAATCTGGTGTGGATTTATTAGCGTAACAAGAATTCAGTTATTAAAGATTGAGTAATAGGTGATGATTTAAATATATCAGACCAAAAGAACGAAGTGACCGATATATAATTAAAAATTAATCAGAATATATAATTCTAATATAATGTCACATTATACATTGTTGCTATTGTGAAAGCACAGTATAAATGTAAACATACTTTTCAATAGAAGATATCATTCATTATCGTTATTTAACACACAAAATGGAAAGATAAGGTTTTCATATTCTGAACGTGTAACTATAATTTAATTTTTCAGACAAATTTTAGCGTTTCTTGAAGTAATCATAGTGGCAATTAATTTTTCGGCTAGTCTAACTATGTCTGGTTATGAGCGGCGTCTACTACTTGTATGCGACATCTGTTGTACGCTCGTAGTTCACACCACTATTTCTACTGGAATTATCCACAATTTTAAGTGGATTTTTAAGAAAAACATCGAATAATAACTTTTGCGTAATTGTATATTTAAACCAAAAAAGTAATAAAATTTATATTGCACCAGAAAAAAGTAGTCACAGAGATTCAAAAGCTATAAATAGAGCGCGGATTTGCTGCACTTATATCAAAATTGAGTAGTTGCAGTTTAAAATAGACGAATGATTGAAATAATTACAAGATGTCAATGTATTATTTTTATTTTATTAAAATAATAGTAGTCAGTAGTAATTGTTATTTAGTTCCTGCATCTGGCAGTTGATACAAACAATTTATATTTTGCATACAAATTTTGCATACTTCGCATTTTTCACACAATGTATCACT